GAAACTGTAGCTATCCTACAGCTGTGGATCCTGTCGAGCAAAGATGTTGATGTTTTTCTGACACTGATTCACACAGATCTGTCAGGTACCGACTGCAGTCCTGTTCTCCGTCAGCTGTGGGTTCAGTTTGTCTGTCAGAGACTCTGTCGTGACTTTGGTTCCGTTCCCACTCGTGGAGACACTTGCCGTTTTTCCATCCGTCACCTCTTGAGCTCCTTTAACGTCAGTGGACTGTGAATGAGTGTCAGTGTTAATATCCAGGTGTAGGGAGGGCTGATAGCGCGGTCTGTAGCCGTACGCCCTCAGATGGTAGGTGTAATACTCCAGGGTGTACATCAGCTCCGCCTCCACATAATGAAAGGACACGGCCAAGTCTGAGCAGCACTGTGGACCCTGCAGAAGACGGACACACAGGTCAGAACATCCTTGTACACACAGGTAGACACGTACACAGGTATTACAGCAGCTAAGAAGGAGCTCAGAAACTATTTCTGACACTGACAGATTTTTTTCCACAGCACCAGCTTTTGAGGGTTAAACCAAATCTTTTATATAAGCTTTGTTGACTCAGGAGATTTACCAAAAATACTTCTTCGAACACTCTGAAAGTACAGCTATTTCTTGTTCTGAAGAAAAAGTTGCAGGATGATGACATTCAATGTTAAGTTTTTATGGTTAGAACATTAAAGATACAAAAAGATGAGTTTAAACATGTCATATACTGGAGTTAGGAAAACTTTATTCTGTATTTAAATAGATTGTAAATTAAATCTATTTTTAATCTTAACCAGTAGGAGGTTTGACTCTAAAGACCGGGTATAAAAAGAAAATCCAGGTTCAGTCTCGCCATCAGTGATGGATCGTGTCTCATGGCTAGTACGAGAAAAACTGATTGATGGGGTAAAACAACAAAATGACTTTCTTCATAGTTAACAACCAACTGAACAGAAAGTGAGCAGAGCTTTTCCATCATCAACTTGTCAGAGGACACAATTTCTTTCTACCTTGAGGGCCAGACACTCAAATCAAATGAAACAAAAATCACGTTTAGGTCTAACATTATTATTTGATGTGTGTTGTTGATATATATATATATATTTTTTAAATTATGAAACCAAAAGCATTTGAAGCCTTCATCAGTCAGGCTCCTGTCACCTATACCACAGTCATCCACCGGGAGTGATAGAGATACTGAATTGGATAGTCACTATTTTACACCATTGAAGCATTTACTAAAATTGAAAATACTGCCTCCTGCTTTCAAATAAACAAAGTGTCATGTGGGTGGGTGGCTCCTACAATGATCCTGGGGCTAAAAATGTGTTTATTTTTCTTTCTTTCCTTCTGAAGACAGTGGATGAAACAGCTTTGTGTGATGATGATGATGATGATGATGATGATGATGATGATGATGGGCAGCATCTGACAGCATCACTAATGGACCAGCCTCATTTCAATTGCAAAGCACAATAAATTAGTTGCATCATCGACAACAAATTGAGCAATTTTCTTTTTGTTGAGGGGATTCAGCCGCCGCTGCAATTATCCACTTTAAAATGAACTCATTTAATTTGCATTCACGCGCTCTTTGCAGGGTTCAACTATATTATTTATTTAGCTATTCTTCTCATAGTGAGTGTTTGATGGCAGCACATACACATTTGGTTCAAATGTATCAAATGTAATGTATAAGTTAAATTGTTAAATGTCAATGTTGGTTAATATCATTAGAGGATTTTTAGCTGACACACACACACACAGGTCCGTTTTAATTGTTCCTTGTACCACTAGAGCATCTTCACAGATTATGAAGAAGAGTTTTACTTTATATATATATAGGCTAATAAATACAATTTTTAACAAGGGTAACTCTGGTGGTTCCAGTCACGTCCCATATTAGCAAAAACCATTTCAATCGAACACAGGTCTTACCTCGACAATTGGGTAATAACAGTAGCTCCAATACCAGAAGCTTTTGGAGAACTTTCCGGTCAGGTGATGCTCTGGGACAAATGGATGGAAAGTTTCTCGTTGTAACGTATCCCTGGAGTCTCCAGCCAGCACACCCATCTTCTCCAAACACTGCCCCATAGCCAGGTCCTCCACAGGGGTGGTGTGCGTGCAAACTTTGGTCCGAAAACCTTCCACAAACCTCTTCAAGGCTTCTTTACTGAGTACATAACCGGCCCCTCCACTCATGTAGCCTTGCTTGGTGTAAGGCTTAAAGCGTTTCCCAAAGTAGATGGGCTGCTCAGGTGTGTAGTTGGACAAAACCCAACGCAGGTTGTCCACCACCACAAAGGTGTCGTCATCTGCTTTCAAGAACCAGTCGGCTTCGTCCGCATGATGTTCATAAACGTAGTGGAAGGCTTTGATGGTCTTCCAGTAGAGCTGGTCGCGGCCCTCTTTGGTTCCCAGGCCCACCGTTGGAAAGTCTGAGTCCTCCACAGAGCTCATGAACACCACCATGTTGCAGTGGCGACTCCAGGTGGCCTTGACGTGGCGGGCCTTGCTTTGGAGATTATACGGCCCTGTCATCACCCAGCAGAGTACACGTACCTTCTTGTACAACAAGTCTGCCGCCCTGCTGTCCTCATCTGGAAGTACACAGAAACAGATTGGTTTACTTTAATGTCAAACGTTGCACGGTTGAACTTCATCCGTGTTTAAATTTGCAGCATTCCAATAACTTTTCTTCTTTACTCTCTCTAGATATTCATTTTGACAGCCAGTGTCACTAAATATTAAGTCTTTGTTCCAATTTAGTTATTTTATTCATGGGTGATTATTTATTAAACATAATATTTAAATATTACACAGAATTATACAGTTTTGCAGTCATGTCTAATATTTGCCAAATAGACTCATCTGTACTTTCTACTTTCATGTACATGCATGTTTTACTTTGTATTGATCTCAAAGCACAAAACAAAAACTAGTAGCACTAGAAGCACTTAGTTTTATAGTTGTCCAAAAGGATAATTGCCTTTGTTTGGGATTTTAAAACAAGTGACATTTGCAAAGCCTACACGAGTGGAGTCCTGTCAGCATGTGGGTCCAACAACTACCCACAATCCTCTCCTCTTCACTATGTAGTGATGCTCATCAGGGATTTTTAGCCGTTAACGTTTCACAGCACTTGACTTTGCATTCTGAACATATGAGAAGTCCTTTCTCTGTGTTCAATGTCTTTTGACTGTCCATGAGTAAAAACATTTCTAGTTTTATTATTGTACAAGTTTAAGTATACAACTGTGTACAGCACCTGAGTGGTGGGGGTGGAGCAGGGTCAGCAGAGCAGCTCCGTCCTTCTTCCAGTCTGTAGACCTGGCTTTTTCCTGAGTCTCTGTTAGCACAGGGTAGCTCCGCTCAAACCAAACCTGGTGTAGGAAGAAGTAGAAGCTGCAGACCCCCACCAAGAAGCCCAGGGAGAAGGTGCATCTGGAGCCGAGGGCCTTCATTCTAACACACCGTCCGGCTGTCTGATGACCAGGCTGCACCAGATCTACAGGGGGAAACAACAGAATAAGATCTACTTCACATGGCTGTGAACTAAATTTGACCTGGATGGTTATGTAGACTTTTTTAACAACCCTTACTTACCTTCGACAGTGTGTCCTTTAAGACTAAATCTAAAGCAGTCTTGTATTAACTTGTGTTTTAATAACATTATTTGACAGTAATTCAGAAACCCTGCTTCCCAAATAATTTACTTTCACTTTCATATTCTTTGTTTAAGGAAGCTGGTTCTTTTTATTATTTTATTACAATTGTAGTTTATCCTTTTACCGACAATTTGAGCATCCATTATTTCTAACCTTAATTAGATCTATTTTCCTTACCTTTGGGTGTGTCATTGTGACTTTTAGACATTGTTAATAACATGGATGTTTAATTATCTGGCTTCTCATTCGCTTTAAAAAAATACCTTGTTCTGTGATGCAGTAGATATTTCACCAAGCGCTAACTTTTCGACACGGTTATTAAAAAGCTAACCTACAAATCGGGAGTCTTCTGAGTTCGTACAATGTCTGTTTTTTCCTGATCTCTATCTGTTTTTCATCTGTAATTCCGAGAAAAAAGTAAATTGAGTAACCATTGATCCCCTTAACCAAATAAAGACTTAGGGTCTGTTTACACATAGAAACAAATGACACCTAGTGCTGTGACAGCAGAGCCAGGGCCATGTTGAAACCAGATCTATATCTACGTCAATCTAAAAAATGTTGTGTTGGTGCAGAACAGCAGCTTTAAGTCTATGTACAACCAACAAACACATACTGACATAAAACTGGGTCTATACTGCAAGTGTATGCCGTTTACCTGGCCTTGGGGATCAGTCATTTGTGAGCACAATATGCCCCTTAACTCCAAAGGCATCGACAACAAATGCCGTTACATGAGCACCTGCTACCGGAAATCACGTGACTGGCGTCTTTTACGTTGATTCGCCCGCCCCCTGTTTACCGCGTCAAATAAGACGATTAAAAAAAGCCTCGATGTCGAGCTCTAGTGGCGGCTGAGTCGGTCAGCGAGCCGTACTTATAAAAAAAAGCCTCGGTGCAGATTGACATCCGCCAGCATCTTAGCTTAGTAAAAAGGTCGCCTCTCATTGGCTGCCAGATGGTGACGTAAGCCGCCCCTTAGGCTGAAAATGAATAGATAAACAAGACAAAGATTGGAAAAAGGTACAAATGTGGACTTATAACACAGCAGACAGTGCTTAAGTCGTTTTATCATATCATATTTTATCATATACCTTTATCATATTGATAACCGCATTTTTACAGCACCCCGCTAAAGACAAACTTGAAATCTCAGTTTTAAAGAACATACCACAAGTTATGTAGATAAATACTTTTTATCGTTAATTTCTGCTAGCAAGAAAAGTCGAAATTGTGGTCACAGGTTATACAAATCATATATTGGTAGCATTTTGTCAGTTTGTTTGTTTTTTGATAATGTGAAACGTTTTGTGAAGAGAAAAATAGATTTAGGTGTTAAACATTTTAATGTAACATTTTAAATGTGTTTTTTAAAATGTAGCCTAGAAATTAATTTTGAAACAACTTCTTCTTTTTCTTTCGGTATTGTCCCTTTTTTCAGGGGTTGCCACAACAAAACAACAAAAGGACAAAATTCAGTTAAATTCATGCCTGCATCATGTGATGCATTTTCACCCTTTTGACCACTAGATGTCCCATCAGACCAGTGTAAAATCAGCACACGTCGAGATTTATAGCTTTATTAACGTTAACATATTAATGGAAATCCACATGATTGAAACAGCTGGTTGTGTTAGCAAATTACACATATAACTCGTTTTTTTTTCTGCAGAACTCATATTCGACCGAACAGTGTTTTGTTTACCTGGGCAACAAGAGATTAGACAGGACAAACTATTGCCTTCACGCAGCCTCTTGTGAATATATCCATATAAGTATTTCGACATGTGAAAACGGATTTACTTCACTTGCATTTTGAGTTGATGAGCCTTTGACGAGCAGAGGTCAATATTTTTGGACAGGCAGCGGGAAGTGGAGCATAAGCAACGTTGTCTCTCCCTCAGCTTGTCATTTGACTTGAGTGTCCACGGAAGTCACTACAGCAACGGTAAGTGTGGAACTCTTAGTAAAACTCTATTCTACTTGTGTCATTTCTTTACTGAGGTTTTACCTCGTGGCCATGCAATGCCAAATACTTTTGACAAATATTGAATTATCTCCCGTATCAAAGGAGAAAATGTGAATGTGAAATCAAATGCTGTTTAATTTGCTTGTATTCAAAGCTACACAGCTAAGAGTTGACAATTGAAGGAATATGTCAAGTTTATTTCGCCAAGTAATTGAGCAAATTTATTTCTTGCAAAGGTTTAACGTGGTATTTATTAAGGAAGACACAGGTCATTTTCGTATTGGTATTGATATGGGAAGATACTCCAGGTTGAGCTTTAAAAAAGACTTATCGATAAAGAGAGCATAAAACGGCACGGCAGGTTTTGTTAACTCGTCTCCCTTTTAGCTACACTGCTAATTTTATTTTTTGAGTTTTATTTTTTACATTATTTTATTTGTTACATAAACCTAAATTATATTTAATTATATGTATAGTAAAACAAGGCTTTGCTCTTGCGTAATTAAAATACAATCATTTACGAATTCTTGTTTGCACTCATTTCAATAGACTTTCGTTTCTGGTTACCTAGAATGAACGAGTTCTTTTTCTACCTTTTCAGTAATGTAATGAAAAAAAGGAAGCTCCCATATTTCCTACTACATGTCAGTGAGAGGTATTTAGCTACCCAACAGGGGCTGTAAATGCACAGAACGTTATTGTCAAATATGCCATACATATCAGCAGATTTCCCATGGTATGTTATATGTAATATGTAATGAATTGACTATGTGTCTGTGAAGTGGCCATAAAGATTTTATTGACCAACTTTGCTACGTAAGAAAACTGATGAGTTAACAGTAAAGAACTATGGTAAAAACCTGCTCAAGTCCACTCCAAGGACACTCCCTTACATCATGGAGGCAAACGTTGGCTTAGGGTATGACGCCTTGCTTTGACATGCTCTTTTTTACAAAGACATTTTTTAAATTTGTGAAAAACATTAAGAATACATTCTGAATTCTGACCACATTTAACTGATATGGACCATTTTCACTAGCTCTTCTCAGTACTATCTCAGTAGTACCGCATTTTTATACTGATACTGAAGACACACCTGTACCACAGTATTTCACTGCGTTTCTTTGTAATAATTAACTTCATGATTAGATAAGAGTTGCTCTACTAAAAACACAATACCCAATTAACTAATTTAATTTTTTTATTTATAAAAAGACATCTTGTGAATCTTACATTATATGACATTGTAACAAGAAATAAAAGACATCTGGAATCAAAAGAATTGCCAACGATAATGTATCATTTAGTTTGTGTTATCGCTACAATATTGGATATTGTTACGTGTCACCTACTAAGGTTTGCCTCACATTAGCCTACATTTTTATAGATAGATAGATAGATAGATAGATAGATAGATAGATAGATAGATAGATAGATAGATAGATAGATAGATAGAACTATGAATGCCTTGGGAGTTCCCTTCAGGACATCTAGGGGAATAAAAATGATTGTGCAGGTTAAAAAAAATAGTTTGTTTAGAAGCATTTGCTTTTCAAAGGAATCACGTGGAACCTATTGTTACAGCTAAATACATAACTATCAAAGGAATCACGTGGAACCTATTGTTATAGCTAAATTACTGCAGTGCAATCTGGATTTGATAGATTATTGTGAACAAAGTTGGTAAAATTCTGTTTTGTTTTTTTTTTTCAGATGCTGAAAACCAAAAAGAAGTGTTTAGGACTGATTATTTTCTGTATGAGTGCGCTGCTAGCCTTGTTTCACGCTTGGACCAGTGGAACCAGCCAAACAGTTGACATACTGCCCAGGGACAGCGGTGCACTAGAAAACAGTATTGCCAAACAAATAAAGGATTTCACCCGTGGATACGATGGTATCAGCTACCACATAAAAGGAGAGGTGGCACGGTGTGTGTTATCTGTCGCGTACTAAGACTCAGTTATGTACTGTGTCTGTACACCTAACTCATTGACTTACTCACACTTTCTCTCTGACACAGTCAGCTGGCTCTGAATTCGTGCGTGTGTGTGGCTGATAAAGAGTCCTTTCAGTTGCCCTTCTCTAATCTGCTCTTTCCACGAGTGTGGGCCTACAACGTGGATGCTGCATATCTGGAGTCCCACCATGACTCTGAGGGCGTGAAGCGTCACAGAGCTCAGGAGTACAACAGCTTTCAGAGGAGGTGGGTTTTGTGTATACAGTATAAGTATCATGTGTTCCATCGTAGGCCCCCAACTCATCGGGGCATATATGTACATTTCTGTCTGTACAAACCAGTGTATGAGTTGCTGCCACCTAGTGTCTGGAGGCTTGGCTTATCATTCAAGTATTACAGCAGTGGTTGAGATCAACTGACATATACCAAGACTGTACACAGCTACAGCTAGCTGTTTATACTCCATACTTGTTGTAGAGACCAGGTGTGTCAACCACTAATTGAGCTTTTTAGTGAGTGGTATTTTTATAAACAATAGTTTTTTTTAAGTTTGTCAACTTTGTCCACCACGTCTTGGATGCTGGTGTGTGAAAATACTCTCACAGAAAATGTTGGAGAATTCTATACAAATCCAGTCTGGATTAAACTGGACAAAAGGTAACTCCAAAGATGTTAGGAACTGAGTTCATGCGTCATCTCAGTTCTTCAGTGTCAGCCTGCTTGTTTCAACAGGTCTGTTCACCATCTTTGATTTCTGCTTTATTTGCTGTTCTTGCCATAACATAAGTACAGTATATGGTTGCTCAGTGCAGTGTTTCCCAGAGTTATTCAGCATTTTTGTGGCTGGTCTAAAGAATTAGCACAGATGTCAGGTTAGCTAAAGCGCAAACATTAAACAACATTGTGTTAATTTGTTCGTTGAAACGTTGTGACAGTGCCACACAATTAATGTGAGATGTTGCTTTACTAGAAAGCAGCAGACGGTGTTTAAATGTGCTGTTGGTGTAAAGCTCCGCTCACTTTCTGTTCAGCTGTTCTGTCCGGGTTAATCCTCACAGTGGTTGAGGTTTTTTATATTACTGAAAAACGTTTTACAATGTTGCTGAAGTGGAGTCTAGTCTAATGCCCATGTCTTTTTGATATCCTGTGCTTTAAGGTCGTACAATCCGGCAGATGCTCTAATCATCACTGAGGCCAACAGTCCCCTGCAGTATCCCACTCAGGGGGTTGAGGTGCGACCACTGAAAACAATCGTTATACCTGGTAATAACATCATCACCTATTATACACACGCATAAAAAAAAACTATTGTTTCTATGATGCTTTTATTTTTATTTACGTCTTTTATAAGTTATTTGTGAAACTTTTCTAATTTTTCAGGAATCAAAAACAGTAAATTCTTCCATTGTTTTTACAGGTTTGGCTTTAAAGGAAAAAATCAAACCAAACCATGTGGTAATTTCATCAATTTTTAGTTTTTATTTATTAGTTAACATTTTTTTTGCATAAATAAAAAAACATTTTTAACTCACAGCCTTGTGTATCCTATATGACAGGTGTATTTAACAGCAACTCTGGGTGTGTTCAATGTTGCTGCTACAGTGGACGCTGTCTCGGTGGAAGGAGCAGGACAGACGCACATGAACCTGTCCAGTCCTCTCCTTGATAATCTGAACAGGCAGCTTCAGTTTGTCACCTACAGAAACACAATTTTCCATCCAAAGACGGCAGATACAGGTACGGCTATTTGCATCATATTTTGAATTGAAAAGTAACGTATGTAAATTCAACCAAAAAAAATGAAAAACCTGTCCTGCCAGAGTCACTTCCTCTATGTGTCAGTAGAACTTCCTCTATGTGTCAGTATCAGCCCCAGCTGTTTCCACCTAAATATTAACATATAACAACATCAACGGAGGAGATGCAAGTTTGTACCATGTGGTTCTGCACAGGCTCCAGCAGCAGTTCAGCACCAAAACAGCAGTAAAAACATACGAATAGGTAAATACAATTATATACAAACATGAGTAGCAGCACACTGTCAATGAATATAGGAAACCTGAACAGTGGATGTTAGTAGAATAGTAGGTTATTAGATTAGACGGCGTGTGGGGAGGGAACACAGACTCGACAAACATAGGTCGGCTTATTTAAACAGTAGGAATAGAAGGAGACCATTGTGTTATCTTCAAAAAGACAGGTACAGAGGTGAAGTCAAGCCCACTGACAGTCCCCCACAGTATCCTGTTACCTGTGCCATTAAGTCAACCATGGTAACAACACTGAACCCCCAAACAGGGCAGTCTGTCTTCTGACTCTGCCTGACACAAGGTGAACCACGTGAACCTCAGCAAATGGGGACATCTGTTCAGACAGTTCCTCTTCCAAACATAAAATTCTCGATTTGACAGTTTGACAATGGGTTGATGAGAACATTCCATCCGTATACATTTAAACAACTTCTCTCTTCTCTCTACATTTTACATTCACATGTGAATGTGGTGAGTTTGGAGTTGAATTGGTTCCGGGACACATTTGAATATATTGTAGTTAAAAAAAAACAAACAACCTTTTGTGCCGTAAAACTGAGAAGTTAAACCTCCTGCTTTATGCTTTGGTAAATAGAGTTGGAGCAGAGCAGTCTGTGACATTAGTCTCTAAGCTGGCTGGTTTATTACACCACAGGGCTGATGAAAGTCCTGTCCTGTCCTGTCCTGTGCCCTGTGTGGGGAAGTTTCAGTGCTAATAAAACCTGACAGGTTTTGGCCTTGCAAAATCTATGAACAGGTGGTGTTGCGTTATCTCTTTGGTATAAACATAAGCCTGGTCTGATGAGCTGTATTCACACTCCAGTATGGTAAGGAACAACTGGTCCTCGTGTGAGTGCACCCTTGCCAGAAAAGTCAAATGTGGTGGGTGTTAGCTGGGCTAGCTCGGCAAAGCAATCTGGTGAAGACTGCCTGTGTGCTAGCACTTCACTAACATTAGCTAATCACTTGTGTCATACTCCTTTGTATTACTCCTCTGTTACTTATACTTGAGGTTTCTTGTCTTTTGATTTCTCACTCCTGTGAACAGACTCGCTAAATTAACCCATACTACTAGTGTCATGTATTTTTGTTTTTTAAAAAAATGTTTTGACCAAGTTTCGAGGATATGATTTACATGAAACAATTCACATGTCAGTCATAGAACAGGGTGTTTAAACGTGTACAGCGTAGGAGCCACTCGATTCTTAAAAAACACAAAAAGTACGTTAAAAAAACTGCATACATTTCCAAGTGCAATAATTACACAACAATAGAAGCAGCAACAATGAAATGTTGTGTTGCGGAATTTCTGTTGTGTGTTATTGAGTCAGAAGATGTGTTATGTGGTGTGGTTATATCTGAGAGCTGTTGTCTAAGAATGCATGAGTCATATATTTCTTGTAAAATATATATTTTTTCACACTTTTTTTTTCCTTTCGGCTTTGTCCCTTTTTTCACACTAATATGACATAATTCGCAGTCACCTCCTTCCTTCCTTCCTTCCTTCCGTTGTAATGTAACGTGATCAAAATCAAAGTGTAATAGACAGATATAAACCACAACTAATGTGTGTGTGTTTGATTCCTCTACAGTCAAATTTGCCACCAAAGGTCACCAAGCTTTTTTTAACATTAAAGTTGGACACGGACTTATGCCCAGACTTTACAGTTCTGGACACCAAACAGGTTTGTCAGGATTTATATTGTTGTCAAGTGTATAATAATTTGACAATTTTTTAAAAATTATTATTCTACTTTTGCAGAGTATAATATCAGCGCTCTTGTTACCATTGCCACCAAGACTTTTCTGCGCTACGACAAACTCAAAGATCTGATCGACAGCGTTCGTCTCTACTATCCCACCGTCAACATTGTGATAGCGGATGACAATAAACAGCCTCAGACCGTGAGCGAACCTCACGTCGAGCAATACATCATGCCATTTGCAAAGGTAAGAGAGTTTACCTGTGGGATCTCGTCACTTTCCCTTCTGACCTGCTCATCAAATGTATTTAGGTCACCTGTGCTGTTTTGCCTGATGCACTCAAAACAGTCCATGAGCTGCAATCAGCCGCACTGCAAGGCTGTATGAGCAGACTGTGCTGGTTGGTCATTGAAGCTGTGGAGAGTAAACCGTTTGATCCAGGTTTTTGTTTTGAGTTAGGAACTGTCTTTGTGTTTCAGTTAGTTCACTACATTCTACTTATGCCCTGTTTTATGTTTTGTTCAATGGCTTTGTTTTTTTGTTTTTTAAGCCCAAATCAACAGAACATGTTCAACCTCCATGGACATGAAACACATTGTACCTAAGGATATAATTAACCCCAAAGTGCTCTATGACTGGGGAATTTAGAGGCATTAAAGGATAAAGGCGTAAACAATGAGAAACTATCATTTCCAAGTTCTTTAATCTTTTCCACTTGAGAATTAAAAGACCATTTAGAAAAAATGGACAATGTCAGTGCCTCCAGTAGAGAGTGCTCTACTGGTTTACTAAGTTATGAAACCGTGTCAATCGGTAACAGGTTGTTCTACTATAATGTTGACATTTGGCTGAAAATTTCAATGTGGGAAATTTGTTCCTGATGTCGAGAAAAGATAAAAGCAATGCATTGTAGTAGTTAAGGAATGAGGTGTGTTACTTTGCAGTGTGCACGCTCAAAGACGTGGAGCGAAAACAGTTTTGCTGCGCAGCGAATACCTTATTGAGGACCAGTGAAAATACTGCTATACAGTATAGGGGTGGACGAGTACTGATGCAAGGTATCGGTATCGGACCCATACCAGCCTCGTTTTAAAGTATCAGTATTTGATAAAGGTTGCTGGTGCCAGCTACTGATACTTCAGTCAAAAAAGAAAAAAATATGTTGAATAACTGGCGCTAAACTACCACGGTGCATTATCGTGTGTGTCACGTCTGTTTAAACGTGGTCAAACTGACTTTTAATAACTGATTCCCTGTGCACGCTGCACCTGTTTCTGTTCACATCCAGAGGGAGATCGAATGGGCATTCGTTTTGTGCAATTTCTAAACAATAGAACAATGAGACTTAAAGAAACATCCAGACTTTTCATCCTTGGTTTAATTACCACATCAAACAGTAGTGTCATGGTCATGACATTGTATTGATGTTGTTGTGCAGGTTCACGGGTTGGGGAGGGGAGTAAGGAGGCGTTGTCAGAGAAAGAGAGAGAGGGAGAGAGAGAGAGGGAGAGAGAGGGAGAGGAGCAAAGCAGACGGATGATAAAAACAATCTGAGAGCAGAGAGTAGAGATTAGGGAAACGTTCTTCTTGTGGGAGTGGTACCTGACATGGTCTTGTTTGTTGAACCAGTTTGTTTTATTAATTTCCTGGTCTTGGACGTGTGCCAAACGTTGCCGAGCCCTAGAGTGTGTTATGACAAAATTCATTTTCTGTTTTATTCTTTATTCCAAGGTGACTGTTGACTAAATTGCCAAAACAAGTGGTGGGGTATTCTTTGGGGACTAAAATGACCCGAGGTGTATGAGTAGGGATGTGATTTATAAAATTCCTCAAACAATTTGCATCAGTTAGGAAAACAATTACAGGTCAATTGTTTTAACTCTACCAACACAGACTGAAGGCTGTTACAGAGGAAGGACATTGTTCCCTCACTGCAGTGAAAGCAGGTTAATGAATGATGTTAACACAGATGGGTGTTCCTGGATCTGGATGAGTGTGATGTGAGATAGCTGGGATATTTAAGACAGAGAATGCTGTGCTGCATGTGCTGCCCTGTGGTGCAGTGGTGCAAGACCGCGTTTTTGCATGTTGTTGGTTTTCTTTGTCATTGTCGATGCTCATGTCATGCAAAGGGCCTCGGCGATATCTTTTGTCAAATGTAGCAACACTTCAGACTGCTTTTGCCTCACATCATTTGTAAAGTCCTGAACAAAATTCGGGAGGACGTGTGTGTGATGTCATCACGCAAAATACAGCATCAAACCAATTGTACATTTGGAGTCCGCAGATATTAAGCGAGCGGACAGACAATTTCAAGGAATTGGTCCACTAAGGGTTTCCCTTTGAAGTGGCTTTGTGGTTTAAAATTAGCTTTAAAATTGTGACTGTTATTGTGTCTAAATGGTTACGAGCCCTCGTGTGTTACACACAGGGCTGGTTCGCTGGACGAAACCTGGCAGTATCTCAAGTGACCACCAAGTACGTGCTGTGGGTGGACGATGACTTTATATTTAGTGCGGACACCAAGTTGGAGAAGATGGTGGACATACTGGAGAAGACTACTCTGGATCTGGTGAGATATTTGAATCCGAGTTCAGCTGCTGCTAACAAAATGCTGACGACTGACATTTGGCTTTCTAGCAGTGAATGTTTTTTGTCTGTCGTCGATAGTACTAACTCTTTTCTGTCCATTTTTTTAATATGAATGCTTACCTGCAAAAAAACTTTCCTAGAAAAAGACTATGTTTTTTTTACTTATATGATGGCCCATTCCTACAGGTTGGTGGCGCTGTCAGAGAAGTAACTGGTTACACTGCATATTACCGTCACACTATTTCAGTGGAGCAAGGCGGAGAAGAGGGTGACTGTCTACACATCAGAAAAGGCTACCACCACGTCATTGAAGGATTTCCCAACTGTGTTGTAGCTGACGCTGTCATCAACTTCTTCATGGCCCGTACAGACAAGATGCAGCAGGTGGGCTTTAACCCCCGCCTGGCACGACAAGCCCATCTGGGTAGGTTTTCTAAGTCTTCAGATCTGTCTTCAAGTTTAGTTCCAGCATCTGTCGACTTCATGACAATGTTTTCATCTCTGGCTGCAGAGTTCTTTATCGACGGCCTGGGCTCTCTCCACGTCGGCTCCTGTAGTGATGTCATCGTCGACCACGCCTCTAAGATCAAGCTTCCCTGGACTGAAACGGACGCACAAAAAGCCTATAAAAATTACCGTTACACTTCCACCGACGTCAATAAAAATCTCCATGATGAAGTCTTCTACTTCAGGAACAGGTTCAAGTGCATGTCCAGTCACTGAGGACAACCGCTGACCTGTTTTTAAGAGGGTAGAAGTGAGGTCTGCCCTCTGCTGGCACTAAAGTGAACTCCAAAGTTTTTGTGTTTTGTTTGCACACAGTCATCCTGAAGGACTTGCCATAGTCAAAGTATGACCTGGCCTTTAATGCCTCATTTCCTGGCACAGATGCAGCCATTCCAGTACAGTGGTGGCTTGGGTCTGGAAGGCTTCAGGTTCGAGTCAACCAGCTGCCAAGTTACCACTGAGCATGGCACCGTCACCACACACTGCTGCCCACTGTTCACTTTGGTGATGGGTTAAAAACAGAGGTTTGGTTGTGTGCAGTGAAGTGCTGTGGCACAATGACAAGTAGTTCACTTTCCTTTTTCCTTCCTTTTGCTTCCACTAGGGGGCGGTAATGCACCTAAAGTTTGTTTTCTAGCTGCAGCAGTTGTCCAGGGCATTGTACGAATGTGGGTCACGTCACACCACTGACTCTGTGTGAGAACGTCATTACATTAAAAATGTGTAATCACAGCTATTAAACTGGTGAAAGAAATCTGACTGTAAGGCTTTTAATTTGGGTTTTTTTTCTCAATTGACGTCTGTCTGGCCTGTACACTTGCCCACACTAACTGGTAACTGATCTGACCCTTGTAAGACAGAGTCATGGACAGCTTCTTACCAACAGTTGTCAGATTGGTACAAGCTAGGTACTGTTTTGCACTTTATAAGAAATTAAGTCTTGTCATTGTGACACAGCACACAACCAAATGTGACCTCTGCTTCACAGCTGCCCACTGTTCACTTTGGTTTAAGCCCGGGGAGCAGTGTGAGAGGACGGTGCCAGGCTCAGAGCACCTCAGTTGTAACTTGGCAGCTGGTGGACTCGAACCTGAAGTCTTCCAAAACCGAGTCCGCTTCCTTAACCACCACTGCCCCGAGGAGGAAATACTCCCTCTGTTGGCAGAAAGAATGTGGATGTAGTATACTGACTTCTGTTGGTATTTGGGTTTGGTAAGTGTTTGAGAAAGTTTTAAGACAAACTACTGTTTTAAACAATGCTACTGTATATTGCACTGACAATTTTAATTATCGCTTTATTGAACTCTGAGCGATAGAAGATAAATGTGAAAATAGATTTTGACTCTGGCGCCCTCTGTTGTAAAAACAACACATGCTTTACTTAGGCATCATTATGTATATAATTCATGAAAAAGGGTTGAAAAAAAATTACTTTGTAATATTGCCTCGGTGGTGTGGAAGGGGAAAAAACAACAAATTCACTGTTTTTCAACCTCCTTAAACTTATGTTTGAAACATGACGCTAAGTTTTAAAATTAAACCTCCTACAAAATATAAAGTATTTTTTCGAAAAAACGAACACGTTTCAAAAAACGATAAAATATCTATCTTTTAGATATGTTTTGTATTTATATTTTTGACTTATTTTTTAAGAACGTGACTTCCGGTCAGAATCGTACAGGTGGGAGTTCAAGGAAAAAAGCTGTAATTTTGAACTTTTACCAAAAGATGGCGACAAAAGAACAGCCCATGTAATGTTTTCCGGGTTGTAATTTTTTTTAAGTAACGGCAGTAAAATGTTTGAATGACAACCTTTTTGTTTTGTTTCGACAATAATAACTTGAAATCAAATGAAATTGATATAGGGGAGGGGAGGGGGCGAGTAAAAGTTATATTTTTTTGGAGTTCCAATATTTTCTTCCGTGCTTCCTTCCTTTACGAAACAAAATATTCCTCTAGTGTTACTTAAAACTTTCGCTTTAAAAATATTTATAAATAACACAAACGGCTGTCTCTTTACTTCAGCTGTAGCCAATTTTTAAAGAAAAATATTTATAAATAACACAAACGGCTTTTAAAGGTTAGAAAATAAATCTGTTTGTAGCTGAGTGAACATTTGGCCAGAGTCTTATAGACCACGTATTAATTGAAGTGGACGACTTCCTGCTAATTAGTCAAACACTCCTTGAGCTTTGAAGGGGAAAACCCCAAAGGGTAAAGTGTCTAGAGGCCTCTTTAAAATATGCGTAGTAAAAAAAATCCTTAATAACATGACTAGCAAACATATTGCTGGAAAATAATTACTTTTTTTTTTACCTTATGTGTCCTAGTTGTGAACTCACACTGTCTGTTTCTACTTGGTCAAGGTTCATAATTATGAGCTTCAACTTCTTCGCAGTGGATCATTTACACATCGGAATTTTATGCTAGATGTAGGACACAGACCATGTCAGGTGGGTCTGATGTTCAGGGTTAATTAAAATGACCCACACAACATATTCATTAACAGTTTCCAGACTGTGTGGAAACAATTAGCTCTATGTAATGTATTTTTAACTATTATTTTTAATAATTGAAATTCAGTGCTATAGGTTGCAAATACGTTTTCCTCTGCGTTGTTAAAAATATTGTCAGGTTTATTCAGAAGATACTTCAACTTGTGTTGGAATTGATTGACTGATTTGAAATGTAATATTTGGTATAAAAGTCAAGTTTCTCAAATTTAGGTCTGATTTCTGAAATCTAAGTCAACACATTTTTTTCCTCATAATTATATGAATATTTAAATAATTAAAATGTTTTCTTTTTCCAAGAAATAATTCTAATTATTCTTGGAATGTTGACTTAAACTGTAGCAGTTTTTGGAATCAGGGTCAAGTTTCTCAAACAAAGTCCAACATTTCCATATCACATTTAACATCATCAATCCAAACCTATATTGCATATACTTCAGTGTAATAACAAGACTGATATCCACATCAAATCATCACAGTAATCCAGTGTGGTTGATGTAAAAACCCATTAGTAATGATATTTATTGAAATATAGTTTCACAAATCTCTGTAAATAATGCTCTGGGAGATTCAGCAGATTGGTTACAACCATTACAAATGTGTGGTTCTAGAGTTTATTCCTGCAGTATTTATAAAAAATAAGAAAAAGAAAATATAAATATACAAACGACTTGAACTATTCATTGCACTTAGGGCATATTTATCCACAAAACAATGAGAAGAAGGCAAATAAATATCACATTGTAAAAACACTCCAGCATATACAAACAAACAAGACTGATGATAAACACAGGACAAAGGACAGGTGATACCAATATTACATAATTATGCTTTTATCCGACGATAGTATCAGTTGGCCAATACTATCACTAATCACTTTTTTTCTGACATGTTACAAATGGCCACTGTTTCTTTACAGCACTGGTGTACAGTACAGTACAGTACAGTACAGTACAGTACAGTACAGTACAGTACAGTACAGTTTAAGCCAGCTTCTCCAGGCACTAAGGAAAGTGTTTGATGCCATCACTGACCCTACACCCAAACAGTCGTGGTGTTTTCTGGAGGTTTTTCCTGTGGGAGAAAAAAGAAAAGAAATGACTTGGGAAGTATTTCGTGGGAAATACTTGCGAACAAACGGGAAAACGTCTCCTCACCATCTGCTGTTGGATGAAAACGACAGCGTCATGAACAGTGACGAAAATATGTTGAGGGTTCATGTAGTTCATCAGACCACTGGATGTGAGGATCCTTAGAACGTTCTCTGAAAAGGCAGAAGTCGGTCATGGGTACACGCTGTGTGTGAGGAGATTTGATGTAGAACCACAGAAACACTACAGAGTTGTGTTTGTGAAAACTGTGTACTGTGTACTGTAGTGCTCACCATTGCAGTTTGACAGATAGACATGAATTCCAACTTTCTGGCATTCAGTGCACATCTGGAAAAAAAACCCAAAACACGGCATTCAGTGCACATCTGGAAAAAAAAACAAACAAACAGTAATCAGTCTTCATTCTAAGACCCATAAACTGACAGAGAGGGGGAGCAGGGAGCCTCTACTCTATTTATCATAGGGCCAGTGTTGTTCTGGACATGTTCCATAAAATTAATTAAAATTCCAAAATGTTTTGTCTACATCACATTTTGATGTTTACTTTGGAATTCAGTCACAAACCAGATTGAACAGTGGGGTGGGCCAGACTCGGGACACGAGCCGCCAGTTGATGATCACTGCTCTAGTATATGTATTAAATAAAATTGTATTTTATATTAACCTGCGTCTAGTGCCATGGTTGTGCATTCAGTACTTAGCCATTCAAATAATACACACGGTGATACTGTTTAGCAATGTTAGCAATTTTGGCTATTAAAAAAAAAGTCTAAGTCACGAACCTGTGTGAAAAGTCTGGCTCCAGCAATGTCAACAAATATAACACTGCTACAGTCGATCAACACTGCCTGGACGTCGCTCTCAATCGTTTCTGTCAAAACAGGAAATAAATATTGTTTTTTTTACTTAATCACACATACACAAACATGTTCAAAATGACATGAGTTAAAAAGTGTAACTAAATGCACTAAAGCTGTAGTAACTGTGTGTTCAGACACCATATAACGTGGCGGCTTCTCTCACCTGATTTGAAAAACTCATTTTCCGAGGAGAAAGATGTATTGGCGACACCTCTTTCCTGCAAATCAATTGAGAAAGATAAACAATTTCAATACATTTTAAAGTTAAAAATCCTCCTGACACTTTATTATCAATATTTCCTGTGAGTTTTCTCACTACGGTGCTGATGGCGGCCTCTCGCTCCCGTTTCTCCAGGGCTTTTCTGGCCTTCTCCCAGCTGCGAATCTTCTCCGGCGTCAGGCCGAGCAGCCTGCCCATCTCCTCCCTGAAGAAGCTACGGTTGCCGTAGTAGATGGGTCCGTTGTACGTCAGGATCTTCACACCTGGTACCTCATGGCACTGAAAGGAAACCAGCATGGTCTCTGAAATTATGGACATCACTCAAATAAGAAAAATTCCTTGTAGCTTAAAGATTTATACAGTTATGACGATGTTCATTTAGAAGAAAGTAAAAATAAAAAAAAGTCAAGGATATCCCCTCACTTTGCTGTGTTTCCCCATTGGTCTGTAAATCTCTGTATTGCTGGCTCGACCAAGTACTGAACATCCAGACCTGTTGGATCATAAATCAGGATTCAGATTCAGATTTCCATGAAGAACTGTGTCTGGTTCAGTAAAACCACAGGCTGACTGTACAGACCTCTGTGTGCGACAGATGACTGTCATCATGGAGAAAACCACTCCGATGGCGAGGCCCATGTCCACGTTAAGGACCACTACGGACAGCCAGGTTATCACCCACACCATCTGCACATAGAAATGAAGAAAGAAAACTTAAACATTTCTTAATATTAAAGAAAAGTTACACTTATATTTGAGTGGACCAAATTTAATGTTGAAGATGTGGGTTGTGATCAGTTTGTGACTGAGATCATATGTAGAGATTTTTCATACACAGGCAGTCCTCGGTTTACGACGTCCTCGACCTACAGCGTTTCGTGGTTACATCACCATCTCCCATTAATGTATTAAGAAAGTCTTGTTTCATAATTCCAACATTCACCGTTAAAACAAATTTCAAATGGAATCTAGTTCAAGAGCGAAGCAGATTAATATCTCGTTACACATCGCTATATGTCGGTCGTATGCCATAAGTTGGATTATGTTACATTGACTTTTATTTGAGTTGTTTTTTTGGGAAATATTTGCGCTCCATTATGGCTCCCAGGCTCTTCTGAGGTTTTTATGTCCTAGATTATGATGTTTGGGTGAGTGACATTGGTCCTAATGTACAGTATGTGAGTTCGACTTAAGTCGCACCGTAGGAATGGAACTGTGACTTAAGTCGAGGACCTCCTGTAGATTTATATCTAATCTAAAATCTATATATATATATATTTTAAAACAATTGACTCACAAAATCCATTTTGCTGATTCTCCACAAGTCAGGCAAGTCTCGGAACTGCAGGAACATCTGACGCAGGCTGGTGACGTTGATGCATGCCAAGACCGCCTAGAAACAGAGAGACAAACAGAGGCGGGGTGTGAGTGGGCGATTGGTCATCTCTCTCTGACCCACATCAGGCTAAAGATGCACACATATATGTATAAACACACCTTGGGGAGGAAGTGGAATAATGGACCAATCAGCAGCAGGACGATCAGAACAACCAGACTGGTGAAGAGGCCTGAGAGCTGCAGGAACCAACACAGACACACACTCTCAACAATGGGTCTTTGATGAAGGGTTCAGTTGTTGTAGTCACTGTTTCAGTCACTCATTTTCTATGGACACGTCTCTTTGCTGCTTATACCAAACAGACAAGGTTGTTGGCTGTTTGTACATCACAGCTCTAACTTCCTGTCCCCACAGGAAATGTCAAGTGTCAGCATTTTCATGTGAAAATGTTGATATGATAATCATTGTTGCTAACGTAGCGCACACATAAGATAAAAAGAGGACAACAGCCCCACCTGTGTGTATCCCCCTGCACTCTCCAGTATATTAGTGGTGGCCAGAGTGGCTGAACTGGGGAAGCAGGTGAAAAAGGAAGACACCGTGTTGGAGACGCCGTGAGCCAGAAGCTCCTGAGAACAGACACAGAGCACAGACAGGGTCAACAGGTGACTGTGGATTTAGCATTTCGCTAAACACGTTCTCGCATGTCTTCACCTGGTTCGGGTGTATGGAATATCCATGTTTGTCGGCATAAATCATCGCCAGTGACACGGACACGGCGTAACCCACAAACGTAATGGCAACGGTGTCTCCAGCAATGTCAGGGAACGTGTGTACGGCGGGCATCTGTGGACGAGGGAATCTGAGGATGAAAGACTGAGCGGTAAATCCACTACACAGGCTGGGGTTTAAAGGGGATCACGTTATAAAATAGTTTTTTTTTTAAGATTCTAGATTACCCAGCTGGGATGTGGCCGACTATCTCGATGTTGTACAAAGAGTCCAAAGACGTGGCGTAGGCCACACTTGTAGCCGCAATCACCTAAAAATTGTAACAAAGATGAGTTACTTTGATACTCTTATCAGTCAGACCAGAACACTGTGACGTTCTTTACAGTTTTACCGACCGTGAGAATCTCCACAGGTATGGGCGTTCTCAGCCGATGTTTGTATCTCATGTTGATCTCTTTCACCGGGACCAGAGCGGCCAAACACACCACAGAGATGAGCAGCTCAGCCATGTTGGTGTGAGGCAGGTTCTCCATCACTGATGCTAAAGTCTGAACACACACAGGTGTGTGAGCTGAGGGAGAACAGCACTCAACTGTGGAATTATAACCCGTACAGAGCTCTGGGGCGCGCACACACAGCTTACTTTAAAGAGGGAGAAGGTCCCCGTGTGGCGAGGCAGCCGTAGACCCAGCATGCTCTGCAGCTGTGAGATGGTGACGTGGAAGGCAGCAGCACTGGTGAAAGCTTTGACGATTGGTTCGGACAAATAGGTGGACAGGAAGCCCAGCTGGAGACCGCACATACAGAGCTGGGACATGGGACATGGGACATGGGACATGGACATTAGAACTGTGCAGCTTCAGTGCTCTCACCGTTCTTATACCATTAATATTATTATTATTATTATTATTATGAACTGTATGTGTGAACATGTTTGGACTCAACAGTTTTATCTCTGCTGAGCTGCAAAGAGAGACTAAAAAGGAAGTGGATCTTTAATCTTTAAGATGAGGTTTTGACCTGGTGTGAAGGACACCACCACAGTTTTCTACGAGATATTCTTCAGGAAATGCAGATAAATACCTGTCGTCTCTACATTTTAATCTTGTGCACATATTGTGTGACCAATTCTCAGTGTTGTGTGTTTCTCACCATTATAAGTCCTGAGAGCAGAGCCACAGCAGAGGCCACTCCAATCCTCTGAGCCTCAAACTCAGCTGCTTCAGACGAGCTGGCGTTCAGGTCCAGAGGACTGGGAACCATCTGTTCGACCACAGAGCCAGTCATTAAACTCACCACCGCAAATGTACCTGAGAAAAGACCCAAATGTCATCACAACAGTGGGCACGCTGCTTCTGACATCAGGTGAAAGACCAACACGGTCCTACCTGTGGACACGTGGCGACCTGTGCCGAAAATCATGTACAGGATCACCGGGAAGAAGGAGGTGTAAAGGCCAAATATTGGTGCCACTGATGTCAACAAAGCAAAGGCCATACCTGCAGTAACAGACACCAAGAAATTACACTTTAATACAAACAATTTTACTTTGTAATCTGTGTCCAATATTGAGAACGTTATGTTCAAGAGTTTTGGTAATTAAATGTATTAAAATTAAATTAAAATTAAAAATTAAAATTAAAAGTACCAAAAGTAACTATTATTAACAAAGTCTATTTGTGCTGACTTTTATTATTCAAAAAAATGATGAAAAATGTCAAATAGTGTGTCCAAAATGCTATTTGTTTTTATTTCCAAAAAACAAAGAAAGTGACAGATGATAAATTAATTCCATTTACTTTTTACTTTTTATTAATTAAATCTAAAGTTAAAATAATTCAGTTATTTTTTAAACAGGTGTGAGTTAATCTATCCACGAGTTCAAAAAACATCTGCCCCATGTCTTTACTTATTAATTTAGTAATAATAACACTGACTGACAGATATGTCGATGATTGATGTTTATATTATTGTTGCTCTCTGTACATCTGTCAACATTAGAACAATGTTTTACTCCCTTATTTTAATATCTTGATGTTTATATTATTGTTGCTCTCTGCACATCTGTTAACATTAGAACAATGTTTTATTTTAATATTTTATAGTATTCACATATAAATATTCATTTTATAAATAAACCTAACCTGGTAGATCAACTTTTTACTGGTAGTATTTGTACCAGTAACTGCTCCGAAACTTCCTGATATTTTCAACTGCTACTACCGCTTCAAATAATAATAAACAAGTATTTTGCGATAATGTGTATACATATTATTATTTATTTATAATTATTATTACTATCAGTAACGACAGACACTGTTGACAGACCTTGTGGAATGTGCAGAATCCCTACAGTCAGTCCTGCCACAGTATCTCCTAGAATCCATTTCTTCAGGCGGTACCTGGGCAGCCACTGACAGATGGGCACTCTCTCCCTCAGCAGGTGAAGGAAGGCTCGCTTTGAACACCTGCACCTCCCGGCCAGCCTGTCCCGCAGCCGCAGGTTTCCATCGGTGCTGTGCTCGGAGCCATAAGTCTGTTTGAAGCGGTCCTCGGTGTAGATGCTCCTATAGACGGCCACAGAGGCGGTCATAGTGTCCCTGGGCCACGGGGAGTGATGAGGAGAGTCACCGCAGCTGCTGGCTGTCACCGCACCTATATACCACCTTCAACAGCCGCTGCATTTTCCTGTCCGCCTCCTCACAGCCAATGACATGGCTCGGATTCTTAACTTTTTGTAACAGTGTTCAACAACTTTTTTTTCGCATCGTTGTCGTGTCTCAGGCAGCATAAAGGTGAGTAGACTTCTTCTCTCGACTGAATCCTCTGGGTCCTACTGCTAAAAGAGTTTTTTTAATCAGAAATTTAGTCTGCGTTTCTTTATCTCGGCAATCATCAAGAAACTCTACGTCATCCTTACCAGCTAAATTCGTTCGTAACATTTTATTACATTTATTGACAGCACCACTGATACGCCTAAATTCCTCCATTTAAGGGCAAACCAATGCGTTTTTATGGTTATATTAATTCTAATTATGATTAAAACAAGTTATTATATATTCAATAGTCATTTAACACAGCCCCGCTCTGAGCTTTGTTTTTTATTGTGCCTAAAATATCAATACAGGTACTATGCAACATGGAGCGTTAGCAGTATACTCCCTGCTTAAACACATTCTATAATCCCCGGTACCAATCTTACACTATGACCAGAGCACATAAAACCATATACTGAGCCGCGTATAAAAGTAAAGGTTTGAGTCTATAATTCCCTCACAGATCTCCTACTGTGAGTCAGACTCCCAGGGGACCCCGGCCCTCTCCTCCCCCAGTGGAGGACCACGATCCCCAGAGGACTCTGCGGGAGGTACGAGCTCAGAAAGAGCACAATCATGTTACACAATGTATGGCACTGTGAAGCGACTACAAGGATCAAAGTCATATTGTCGGAGGAGACGAGGTGTAACCTCAAACCGTGTCAGTTAGTGAAGAGTTCATTTCCGAGAAGTATGGATGTCTGTAATGGGTAGGTGTTTAAACCGTGTAGCCACACACGAAAAGAAAAAAAAAAGAGTGTCTGGTACACATGAGACCTCCGTGAAACTCGATCAGCGATGGCCGCCTGGTTCATGGATCAAACTGCACCTTGACTCTGTATGGGATGAGTGAGGTGTTGTTCTCTGTCAGGCAGGAGTGAGTACAAGGGACACAGATACATACGAGATAGGAACAGATGAAACAGGGTCTCTGTGTGTCATCTTTGCAAAGTGGAGCAGGGAAATGGAACAGCATCAGACGTTGCTCGAAAGAGTTTCTCAGAGGTGTGGAGAGAGCATGAATCACAGTCTGATTTAGAACAACTGAGGAAGTAGAACATTTATTTTTGATGTGATGTCCAGATTAAATGAACGCAAAAGAACCTTTCCCTTCTCATTAATAATGTCTGCCAGCCCTTCATGCTACGTGAGGCTACGTGAGGCTACGTGAGGCAGTGCAGGCAAACTCACTTTTCTATTGTTTTGGGGGTGTTTTTGCTTTGAATGGGTACAGGCCTTGGCAACGGGAGCACAAGATTCAGAGATTTACACTAACAAAGTCAAACAATATTTCTCTAAAAATACCATTGTTCATACTAGAAATGTCCTGCATGTTAAACAAACCTCAGAGGATGATGCTAGAAAAAGCTGCCATACCAAGTGTGGACACTTGGAGTGCTGTTCTGGAAGTGTGTCGTAAAAAAAAGTTTATAAAGACACAGTGAAGTAAAATTATACTTCAGAGGAAGACCGTCGGAACATATCAAGATCAAAAATACACCCGCTTTTCCGAAACGTGAAGGTTTATTTTGTCTGTATTAAGACAACATAAACCCAGTGGAACCACAAGGAGCAAATTCCCGTGCAGATACCACCGCTGACACCCCCTGCTGAAAGGACAATGGTTATTGTTAAGGTGCAGTAACATCAGTCAGGGAGTAAGTGAGGGATGCACAGAGGTGTAACGCTGGTTGATCCCTCTCCAAACTGTGTTATGGCCCAAGTTAATAGAACACATGCTGACTGTGTTTTTTCCTTCGCATCTCATATTCCTGGAGTTTCTTCGTCTGTGGTGCTGAGGAGATGCAGTGACATAAGGAACTTCCCTTAAATGCCAGGAATGTGGGCCATTGTGTTGATCAGCTCCAGAGGATTTATGAACGCACCGACGGCACGGTGCGTCTGCGAGCTGTTTAAACAAGATATTAATCAGTGGTTAAGGGAACAATGTGTTGAGTAGAAAAGGATATGGAGCGTTAACCCCAAACTATAGACAAATGCTGCTGTACCATCATAACACAGACCAGGCTGAGGCACTCAAACAATGAAAACTTGAATACCTGAGTGGCACCATCAGCCCCAAAGTATACAAGCGGGCCGTTCATATTGTTCACGGTGCCGTCGTTTAGCTGAGCAGCGCCAACAACACCAGTTCTGTGACCACAAGATGTGTCAAGTAATGTCTGGGTTTTTTTTTTGTTGTGTTAAATTAGTCCTATTGCAATGTATTTTATTGGAAATACTTGTATTATTTATTAGAAATACTACATTATGCGTGGCAGCAGCTTTTGATTTTAAAACCCAATTCTCGCCCTGCAAGTTCTCCTTCATGCCCTGCACTTGCAGAGACTCTGTGTTATTCTGGACCAGGGATGGGCTCCAGTCATTTTGTGGCTTATAGTTCCTGCTATTGTTCTTTATCTGCTTTATGGGATTCTTGTCTCGACCCCCTACGGCATGTTACTTTGGACATGACCTTGTCTTCTAGTCTGACTGCTGGCAGCCGAGCCACCTCTTGTATCCCTGTCTCCTTCCCTCTCCCAGCCCTTTCCGCCCTCTGCTCGTCTCCATCCATCAGTATTTGTCCTTGTGTTTACGCTGCTTGCTTTCAAAAACTTTGCCCTCAGAAAAGACTTTAACTTGCACTTCAACCATGCGATGTTTCGACGAAGGGTAAAAAGCCAAAAATCAGACTGTTAAATTTCTCCAACGAACCTTTGTTGTCCACAGAAAAGAGACACATTATGCCGTTGTCACAGCCAATTATTAAATCAAGAAGAATCAAGATTTTTATTCCTCTGGAAGTTCTTCTCCTCTCCACTGTTGTGGTAATTAGACACGTCTTGATTTCCCACTGCAGCTCACTATTATTTCAATACTTCACGCTTCATAAATCATCAGAGTTAGAACCCCAACTGCATCAAACTCAATAAATGACTGGTGTAATATAGGTGTCAACCACTGCAAACCAACATGGATTCTATGGAGAATAATCTCTAATAGAGATGAGCTGATTGGTTTATCTGTGGTGATGCCGCCTGTCAGTGTTTTTCTTTTTAGTTTTCGCTTCCATCTATTAGTACTGATGTTATACTAGTTTATACCGGTAGTTTAAACTAAAGTACGCCTTCAGCTTGTGTGAGGCTGGGACGAAAAGTCAAAGTTAAATTCACTCTGGAATGAATATATTTGCGTCATCATTTGTTTTGTTCATCCCAGGTGAAAAAACCACATCATCAACATCCATACTGTCAGAATTTGTGCTGCTCCGTGTTCAGTCACTGCAGACAACTCGGAATTATTACATCACCAACACCGAAGAAGAAAAACATTGTCACTTCTGGCTGACAAAATAGACAACAAACCAGTTCTTTGAAGTCACACAGACAAATATATATATTTATAATATTTAAAGCTACGTTTAGCCACATGAATGTTTTTACACCGTCCTGGTTGAACGTCTTTTCTAAATCGCATGAGTTGTGATTTCCTGTCTAATTTTGACGACTACGCCCGGACCCCCACCACACCTACAGTGCATTGTCCACGGTCATTTATCAAACATCTGGGTGATCTCTTAAGAACACTCCCTAAGCATCCTCCCAATGATGTCAAATGTCTCCTAAGAACAAAGACGATGACCCTGATGACACGATCTGACTCGACACTAGACGAGGAACACCGTAGGTCGGGCTTCACAGCCTGTTTGGTCTGGATGCTATAGTGATGTGCAAACGGACTGTAACAAACCATAAAAGGGTGTCGTGCCATAAAGGACGATGACGAAAATATTTAAACACTCACGTTACGTCTCATCTCTAGTATTTCTGTTGTGGAATGTCTAAGAATGTTGACTCAAAAAACCCAGTTCTTTTCATGGAGTTGTTTTGGCCACAGCGGTCCTGGGCTGAGTGGAGGGTCTGTCTGTGGGATGTGTCACTTCCTAGCTCATGCCAAAGCATTGTGCAGTTCAAGTACACACCAGCGACACAGCCTTGAACCACGCTGAAAAGGCCAGCGCTGCATTGTCTGCTTCACCTCACTCCTTTGTCAACACGACAAACGACAACAAGATTCACTTTCAGCTGAAGTACATTGACGGCATTCAACACAATGAAGAAACGATTCCTTTGGGATTTTTACTAAAAAGCCATTCGACAACATCCCGTTCATTAGAATATGACTCCTATTGCACATTAAAAAAAAAGAAGTTGCATTTAGTTCCTGAAAACAGCCTGATGGTTTGGAGTCACTGTGCTCACTCTAGTATTTTGTCTTGTGCGTGAAACAGACTGAGTGGGTCCTTGAGAGTCAGCGGTGCAGCCAGACTCACCTCAGACACAGTTCAGGTGTAAAATGTTGAACAGCATTCGTTCTCTGTAGCCTTGAAAGTTTTTTTAATAACAGTGCTATGTTTTCGGTGGACAGCAGACAGACCTCTTTATTACGTATTACCTTAATGATATGGAGACAATAGTTTAAATAAAAACATGTTCAGCCTTTAATGATATGGAGACAATAGTTTAAATGTTACAATAGTTTAAATGTTGTTACTCCCAGAGCCACTCCAAAGACAGACATCGTCCAATGAGGTTAGGGTTTGAATAAACAGGCACAGAATGTGTGTTTTTCTTAGAGGAGAAAGTTATAGTGGTCAAAGTATACTGTTAAGATGAAGGGCCACACGGTGGAAGGGTGGTTTGTGCGCTTGCCTTACAGCTAGAAGCTTAAGAAACCATTGTCCAAGTCATTGTTTATTGGAAATTGACCATTGGTATGAATGTAAATGTTACAGTAATCTCCATAGGTGGCCGTGTGATATGATGGTGAAGTGTTCGGGGTGTACGGCGCCCTCCCCAGATAACTGCTGGAATTGGCTCTACCTTCTCGTTTTGGAATTCTCTGCTATAGAATATGCTCAAAATATTATTACAAGTACTAGGT